CAGTAATGCTCTCTTGTGCTTAATAAGACGTTACAAACAATATATTCTTCACTTGAAAAACGTGTGCAATACTCAATGCAGAAATTAAGTTCATTTTTAAAGTGTAACACAAGTATAACCAAATACGTACACTATATACAGGGTGTTAGAAAGTTAATAAGGCTGCTTAATCTTTTAAATCTGGTGCATGGTACAGATAGGACACCCCCCCCAAAAAAAAAAAAATGATGTTGTGGATATTCCCATGAAAGTCCAAATCTAAGTACTTGCAGAAATGTCCCAGCTCCTTTGAACACTCTATTGGACTTTCAAACTGAAGCAGAAGTTATTTCTAAAGTAGTTCCACTCTAGCCATATAGGATTTCTAGCATGGAGATGTTATTTCTGGAGAAGAACATAAGAAATGACTACTTGATTGGCCTCTGGACAATCTGAAATTTCTTGCTGGTGCTAACATCTGCATGACTGTGCATGCTGTATATTCATTTATACATACATAACAAGAAAACATAAACCCACGTCTTCTAGCAGGAAGAGGGAAACATTCCTAATAATACATTTTCTTTAGGAAAACTTGATTGATATATACAGTATATTAAAAAAAACCCTACACAATTGTCAGCATACAAAAATATGAGTTCAGTATCTTTTTATACTTCAAAACCTAATGATGAAAAATCCAGGTATCCTGAGACAGATATGTACTGTGCATCTAATTTACCAATGCCAGTGTACTGCTGGAGTACAATTAGAAAAGCACTACCTGCATTTATCAACAAGTACAGAGATAAAATACATAAGGCATTGCATTAGCTTGAGAAACTCTCCTCTTTTCATAATGTTAAACAAAAATGGTGCAAAATATGCGTAAAATGCTGGCAGACATATCCATGAAGTAGCTGTAAAGTAAAGAGTACGGAACAATATGCATATATACGACAGTTACTGATTTTAAATGAAAATAAATGAAAGATACGTTCCTTTTTTGAGCATCATGCTTAACCATGATGTGTATACTCACACTCAGGCAATTGTCTTAAATATATATATATACACTACCTCTGACAATGAGTTAATAAAACAAAAAATCACTGTTGTTTGCATGTGAATTTCTCTGGGTAAAACCAGATCAATAAAACTGGTTCATTTTTTTCCATTAGGGGATTCTAACAAATGAAATGAAATATGATTACTATAAATCCTCGTCAACTTAAGTTTAATCGTTTTGGCTCTAAAACAGTAGAAGAGCAGTTCTGACCACTACTGACTGCATTAAAACAAACAAAAAACAACCCAAAAACCTGATGCATTTGCTAAAACCCAGTGAAAACTACCTAAAAAGCCACTAAAGATTGCAACTCTCTCAGTGGACATAAAATTGGTTGGTTGGTTCAGCTGATAGCAGGAATATTTACTTTAAAATGGATCCCTAAACACAAAAATGTCTGGCACTGAGAAACTGGAATATATACATTTTTGTATTCATTTACATTTACAATCTACAAGGAAAATAAGTGTTATGAAATACTTAATTTGAGGAACTAGACTGAATCAATGCTCATTTCATAGATTAAAGACTGTTTAGCATCCTATTATTCATAGATGATGGTTACAAAGATAGGCTAAACATCATCAGCTCTACCTCAAAATCAAAATCCAAGTTTTCTCCAAGCATGAACCCTATGGCAACTTAACTGTTCCTTGGCCCTTAACCCTCCCTTCCCAGCTGTTAAATCTCCTATACATCCCCCACAGACTACCACTGAATCACGGCAGTCCGTATTTGGTAACGTATGTCTCTAGATCCTTGAATTTATTCCTAGAAGAATTACACTTGTCTTGGATGAAAAAGTAAAAATTACATACAGAATGCTTTCCCTAAACCAGTACAACACATTGTCATAAAAATAGGCTGCATAATCTGTTGCTGCAGAAGCAAAGATTTAACAAGCTACGGGTGTTACAGTTCTTGTAAATCATCACTGTTGGTCATCTCTTCTTGTCATCTGTAAGTCTAAAAATTTATGAGAAGATAAACATACTGTGATGAGAATGGATTTTTTTTACTCTGCAAGTGCACCTTGCATAAGGAACAAATACATCCTCTACATATACCAAACAAGATAAATAGCTTTAGTAATGAACGTGTGTAAATTTATAATTTAAGAATGGGGTTCTTGAAGGTCCATCTAATGTTATTAGAAGCCAGATGTGTTAGAATGTGCAGTGTGCTCTGAAAACAGAGGGGCAAGAAAAGCAGTTTGAAAAGCTGTGCAATGTTTCAAGTGAACACTGGCTTTTGAAGAAAATTTTGAGAAATTAGGCACCCACTCTCCATAGAGAGTCAGTGGGACATTTATGCCCAATTTCCTTTGGAAATCCTATCTTTACGCGCTACCTGTAATCCCAGAAAACCAGGGCTTAAGTTTCTCAGCCCCTTTGATACCAGGCTAAATAGATACTTTATTTTGGAGTATGGGTCACCAATGAAGCTCATAGTGCTGAATAAGTTTTTGAAAACTGCCTCTAGAGGGGGAAAAAAAGAATAAAGAACCAAAAATTAGATATAAAAACAAGAGGCCAAGATTTCTGATGCACACTCATGAAACAATAGCTAAAGAATTTGGTCCAGTGACTGGCTCATAAGTATTTGTCCCTCGGTGTTTACAAATGTCTATTACCCCATGCTTTCAATGACAAAACAAATTAGACAATTACCATATTATACAGGAGATTCTTTTGGCACGTTTGCACTCCTACCATTTTCAATGCAATAAAAAAAAGTGATGACTAGTTACAATAATGTGTGCGCATGCAACAGATTTTGTCCTCTAGGTTATTTTATATTATACAGGATTAGCAGCTCCGTGCAGCTGACAGCTGACTTACCTCGTAGTAAAAAAACAAAACTCATGTGGGCAAATCTCACAGGAATATGCGAGCTCACAGCCGGGGCTGACACCGGCACCATCCTTGGCATGAGGAGGTTACGGCTTCTCTGTACTCCTGATGTCTGAACAAGCAGAAACTGAAACAGGTTTTACGCTTTTGCCTGGAACGGGAATTACCCTAGCCAATACTGCCTCTCTGAATAAAACACATCCGAAAGTATGAGATCCTGACTAGAATAGCAACTATAGAAATCGTGACTCTTTCTTACGTACAAGCGTTAGGTCATCCTAGACAAAATGAGTAAGTTTCTAAAGAGTAAAACTTTGTTTGCTGGGTTTGGGTGTTTGTTTTTTTTTTAATCAAAAAGGTTATCGTCCCACAGCTTCCAGTAACTATGAAAGAGTGTAAACTTCAAAGCACAAAGGAGAAATTGTTACTGAAGCGTTCATTACTGCACGTCTTTGTCACAGTTTAAGGCAAACAGTCTATATTTAAGGTTGGACCAGTAATTGATATGACTACATAAATATATACATATTGAAACTCACATATATGAGCAGACATATATATCTGTGGATATATAAAAATATTTATTTTGATAGCAAAGTTAAAGTCTGTGTAAAAACATTAAGAATACTGAAAAAGGTAGGAGCTCTAATTCCTCCTTTGGAGAAAAGTAACAAGTCCCCTAGATATCCTATATGAAAAACACTCTCTGCAAGAGTACAGCTCATTTTGAATTCTCACTTATTGCATTGTGGATTAATATATCTGTTGAAGATTTCATAAATAATTAGATAATTTACAACAATTACATTGTGAGGTTTGATTGCTACAGCATAACTATAGGCTGCTGTTGTACAAAAAATAAATTTTATTCAGACAGTGTATGTCCTGCTCTAATAGAATGCATAGCTACTGCTACAAGTAGAACTATTTCAGAATATAGTTTTTGTTTTAATGTGTTCACATATGAAACCTCATTTGGGGGCATTTTCTCTGAAAATTCTTTGGCCAAAAGAACAGCCAAACGCAGACACATTTTCCCTGGGCCCTCTAAATACTCAGTACAGTTTCAAAATAAATCCATAACAATTACCACTCCAAAGAACTGAAACGCTATACAACACAATTCTGAAAAAATACAGGAAATGGCAGCATAAAACATCAAACCCCCAAACTATGCTTCAACTTAAACCACAGATGTTTCCAGTTAAACATAACAATACTGCCTCATCCTCGCCTTATGTAGATTTGCTAGTATAATACTATACAATATACACAACTCTGTAAAACTCTGAAATGCAGAGGCGCAATAATGTAAAACATCCATCAGACAGAGTCTGAAATTCAGTCTAACTATGGATGAAATCAGACTTACCCATCTTCTTCATTATAATGGCAACTGAAAAAGGGCAAAACTCCGCCTCATATGCCATATAGGTATTTCTTCTAAAGGTGTATGACAATGGACTGCTTAAGACATGGCTGAGTTTACTGATTACAAGCACACGTTCATAGCAGCAGTCTGCCTGCAGCCATTAAACACAATTCTGAGATGAGTTTTACATCTCTTACATACCTCACTTACATTATATCCTTGAAACAGTAATGTCATCGTTCTGAGAAATTATGATGGCGACAGGAAAAAAGGGATTAGCAGTGCAAAGGGCCCCATATGAAGTGCATGCTCATTATCAAGCCTAGTTTATCTAGGCTTTTATTCCTTCCACAAGAACGCGTTCTGTATAGTGTACAAGTGAAGTCATTTTCTCTGAACAAGACATTTGTTTTCAAGCTGCTGTCTATGCCTATCGTGTGGCTGAACAAGACACATCAAATGAACCTGATTCCAGTGTAAAATTCCCGAGGAAGATTCCCGTTCTACTAGCGTAAGGCTGGAGTGCACAGATTGCAGAAATGCTTTTTGGAATTCATTTTTCAATGCCAATAGAGAATATTTAGGGTATTTCTTTCTTTATCCTGAGTAAAGGTTTTTTTTGTTTATCAAAGCCCCAGGCACATACTGCTATAGTGCAGTTAGATTTTGTCACATAGTCCCAGTATCCTAAAGGCCATTATTGGATTATTTTCTGGAGCAGTTCTCCTCATTCTTCTCCAACAGGTGGTGGTGGCTGGCATAGCTTGTATAACCTGACAATGACAAAAAACAAAGCAATTGTTATTCTGAAAGCTTGGTCATTACTAAAATGCGTGAAGTTAAGGAACACAAACTAAATCTAAGTCTTCCTGCACTGCAAAACAAGAGATACCGAATTCAGTTTAATAACACTGACGTAAAACCAGTAAAATCTTATTCATGAGCATGAATGTTTACATTGAAAGTGGTATCATTAAAACACACATCTATCAGCAACTTTATAAAGACATTCCAGTTTAGTCAAGTTTTCATATTTCTGCACTGAAGACCCCGCTCTGGAGCAAGCTAAGTCTCCACTAATCCAACTACCAGTTGTTGCTCTGGATTTCTAAATTGGAAAAGCTGCTTGGTGAATGCGATTGCCTCCATTTTTGTTTTGTTTTGGCACAGTCAGACCTCACTCTAACACAGTTCCCTATAAAACTGATGCTGTTGGAAGAACCTAAGACAGATGTCAGACACGTGACACACCAACATGAAGATTTTAAACTCTCTCCCCCCCATTTCTACGTGTATGAAGTCAAGACCAGTAAGATTTGGTTCAAATGACTACCTCAGTACCGATTGAAATAGCCACTTCTTCACTTGTAAAGGCTTTTGAATTTCTATTAAACCCTTTTGCATGGACTTGGTTATTAGCAAGTGTTTGAAACTTTACCTTAGTGTTAGGAATACTGAAAATAAACGGCAATCATTCTGACCTCGGGCTCTCTGTCCTGTATGTCCAGCATACAGTTATCTCCCCTGCAACCACAGCAATTAGAACCAGCAATAGACATGATCTCATCTGGAGATTACATATTTTCCTCAGGGAAAGTGTATCACTGAAGGAATAGTGAAGAGAAGCAACCGAGTACGGCATGGCAAGGAGAAAAAGCATCAGAAGCCAAAAATGAAGAGACAATGACACAGCATGTGCATTAATACTTAACAGGAAGAATCTCTGATATTGAAATACCAAAGCAACAGAAATAGCAGGTTTGGTAGGTCTGGCTACAGGCAGAGTGGTGAATCGTCCAGTGGCTTGGGGACTAGGGATATTTAAGATATAAACTCAGGGTATCTGAGTTTGCCAAGTATATTTTGCAAATTTGCCTGCATATAATTAATATCACATTAATTAATTAATTAATTAATATCAAGAATCTCTGATATTGAAATACCAAAGAAATAGAAATAGCAGGTTTAGTAGGTCTGGCTACAGGCAGGGTGGTGAATTGTCCAGTGGCTTGGGGACTAGGGATATTTAAGATGCTCAGGGTATCTGAGTTTTCCAAGTATATTTTGCAAATTTGCCTGCTCAATATCACATTAATTTATATGACTCCATTTCAACTAATCATAAACTTCAAAATCATACTACAAATCAACACAGAAACCAAAACTCTGTACATGTATCTGAGCTCCCCAAACAATTCAAGATCAATGGGCTGGTGCCTTCTTGACATGATACTCTGCTACTGAAATTATGTGCGGCACGGTCTGTATGGCTACCCCCATGAGTATTGAAAGCCTCTTCAACATTTAGGCACATCCTGTCAGAAAAAGCATCCTGTGGCTACGCAAGAGCAGGGCAGGATAGCTGCTGTTCTATTATTTCAGTTCCCTTAGGAACTTAAAACCCATGGGACACTGACAACACACAATGGCTGTGGGCTAAATAACTTTTCTCTGAATCTCACTGGAAGTGATTATCAAGCAGTATTGTTTCTGGATGGTAAGAACAAGGAGCATCAGTTCTGTCAGCCAAACAGCAATTGCAAACCTCCTTTCAAACCTCCACCATAATGTGTTCTGAAGATCATTGGGCTCTTCCAAATTGTCATCTGGCAGATTCAGAAACATCATTTAAGGTCACACTGTGCAGACACCAATGTATTTGTTAGAAGCCATATACAAGCCAATACACGTATATCTTATATTTGTATACTGATGAGAGAATAAGATGGCTTGATCTTTATACGGACAAGTATGCAGAGGAAAATAAACAGGGGTTATCTGAGTTATTTGACTCTGTTGGTGTAATAAAGGAGTAATATTCAAAGCTGGCAAAAGACACATAAAATTACTGTCAGAATCTCATCTAAGTATTTGCAGTGGGGTTAGTTTTTGATGGATGTTTTAGCAAAATCTAATTTCTACGGAACAATGTGCAGAAAAGCTCAGCCCCAAGTAACAAGGTCTGTGTATTCTTCAGGTTAAAATGGTAATCATTAAGATTACTTGTCTTAAGAGCAAGTGATATAGGGGAATTCTGAAGCAAACTAACAACAAGGGTGCATAAATCCCTAAGGAGCTACAGTTGCTGAAGATGGTATAGAGCATAAACAGCCTGTTCTGGGTCAATATATATATGGAACAACCATTTGAGATGGTACAAACAGATCAGCTGAGAAAAGACCGAAAACAGTGGCAATTGCAGAGAACTGAGAACACTGTCAAGTGTCGTTAAATGGAGCCAAATGTAATGGTAAAATTCTTTTCAAGGCCAAGAACTGAGAACCCACAGTATCATTTACCTATACGTCAAAAGTATCACTCCTGCTGATGACTATTCTGACTTATGTGACTTACCTCTCTAACGGTACACCAAATGCCCCAAGCACTGAGGTCAATGAGATATTCCTGTGACATTGCCGTTGCTTCTGACTGGCAAGTGTGCTGGATGCATCTGTCCATTCTATGTTCTAGGAACCACCTCATAGTTTTCCTTCAGCTTTTCATTGCTATGCTGTGGGAGTGTCTTTTCTCAACTGATGCAAAGCCAAAAACTGTGTCATGGCTAAGTTTTTCTTTTTAAGAACATAAATTTTTCCTTTATCACAAAAGCTCTGAATCTAGATACATGCTCTGTCATTTAAAGGTGGGAAAAGTTTCGTTTGCAACAACTCTTTGGCTGTCTCCAGAATTATGTCATGAAGGAAGAGTCCGTTTAAGGCCAGAACCATACTGTTCAAAACATAAAAAGGCTTCAAGAATCAGTACTTTTCTTGGTTCTTATTTAATCTCCTTTATGGGGCATGCAAGATGCATATATGCTCCAACAAATGCTGCTACTCAGCAACTGAACAGCAGCTGCTACTCAGATTTACTCATACCTTGTACACTTAAGGTACACTCCTTTTCTAGAATCAGATCCAGCACAGGCAAGGAACAATGTGCAGTGATTTGTTACAAACAAATTATGAGCAGTAGCCTGATTCCCTACTGGGAGAAACTGGGACACCTGAGAAAAGGGGAGCAAACTGCATAAGAAAAAGTCCCTGAGTATTACTGGTCAGAACCCAGAAGACAGTCTTTCTGTGAGCCTATGGATACTGTATGTGTTCATTCACGTGGTTACCTCTATCGGGTGTTACAAATTCATTGTTTCTTCACTGAAACTTAAACACCACAGTGGGTCTGTTACGTATTCCACATATCTGTTTAGCTTGTTCAATGTGTTATCATTAGTCAACAAAAAACATTATGTTTTAAATCGGTTAAAAAAAAGTTTAGAGCTGGATTAATAAAACCACTTTAAGATAAATTTAAGAACATTGTTGTTTGGCTATTTTCATTTATAAGTATTGTGCTTGTTAAGAAACATTTCAGGTACCTGCAATCCATCACAGCATTAAAAAGCTGGATAAATATAGAACAGTCACATTTTTCATTCTAATGGATGTTTCAGAAAGAGACAAAGAAAGACTACATCATCTCTAAAAGCAACTAGAACATGATTTTGCTGAGATATTGCAGTACAGTATTTCATTAAAATGGGGTTATGGATTTACTTATGAGTATTTCCCCAAAACCACTAAACATCACAAGTGATGAAGAACTTACTCCAGTGTTTTCATAATTAACATGAACTAGATTTCATTTTTTCAAAAACGGGCACGTTTTGAAGTGCTACATAGCCTGGACTTCTGCAGCTAATTAATTAAAATTGTATGGCTAAGAACATAATTGATTCTATGTACATTAAAAGCCAAATCTTAGCAGTTAGTGCACAATACAGTCAATGTTTATTGTTAGCTTTTGAGCAGCCAGGACAGAATTGTGCACAAGCTAGGAAAAATCATGGTCTAGGACACAAACGATCAGTTACCTTGGGACAGACTGTGGCGTTCGATCCCTCACTCCTAAATTCTTGGCTGTGTTTTGTACTCTCGCACCCTGTGAAAGAAAAACAACAATTTTGCTTCATTTATTTCAACACAAGTTAGAAAGTTTTCTGAACTTTCTAGATGAACGTAACTACTGATTATAACTAATTAATACATATACTCCACGTCCCGAAACACCTCTCTTCTTCTAAGGTGGGGAACAAGTTAAAGCAGTACATTAATTCTCAACTTAGAGAAATATGCAGAAACTTGTCATTAAATGTCGTTAAATAAATGCATACATATATATCTTACTAACATAAAAGAGTTCATAAAAAATTAACATTTAAGGTTTAAAACAATCCAAACACATCTTGTTTCAATTTGTTTGATTTTTGTCACCATTCTTTGTAGAAGGCATGGATAACAACATTTCTTTTCTGAAATGTCACTTATTTCCTATGAACTTCTGAACAAACAAATATTACAGATTATTTCCTATTAATAGCTTTCTAGTTAAATCTAGAAAAATGGCCTAAATTGAGGCACTAAATCAGGATTAGAAAAATGCAAGTCCTGATCTTCCTTTATAATCACAGAATCACAAAAAATCAGGTTGGAAGGGACATCCTGAGATTGTTTAGTCTTACACCCCTGCTTAAAGCACGGTCAACTAGAAAAGTTGGTCTCTCTGTACCTGAATTGATCCTTTGAAAAATAATAATGAAAGCACTTTTGTCTCACTGACTCATCCAGTAAGGAGGAAGTTGATAAAACATGCACAATGTTCATATACCACGACAGTGAAAAATGCAGACTCTTCTGCAAACAAACTAGCTTAGACATACGAAAGAACTTAGTAAAATTTGTTTTTAAATGATGAGATCTAGCTTTTGAAATGCAGTTTTATTAATGTAAAGTAGTCATCATAAAGAAACATATCTGTTAGATTTACTGTCTCTTTACATTTTCTAACATTTTAAAGGAGATGGAAAATACTTGTTCTGCCTATAACACATACACTGACTCTCCCTTTATTTCTCCTTCTGTACGACTTAAATTTTCAGGACAAAATAACAGAGACAAAAATACATAATCTCACAATTCTCACAGTGAGATCTTAGATTGGTGTGAAACATCAAAGATAATTTACATTCCAAACAGAGCTGCAATGGCAGCTGCACATGGTGTAAAAATGAGGTATAATCATTGATTCAATACACAGAGTAAGACTAGATCTTGCATTTGACTGAAATCTGGTACCCGGGTAATTGATAAGGTATTAGTTCACTGTTATGGGCTCAAACAAAAGATGAAAAAGGCTGGCTGGTTACACACAGGTAGGTTCTCAGAGTTTATGTAAATCAACACGGGCCACAAAAAATACTGTGTCCTTACATTTCTTTTAGGAAAAAAAAAAGTGGTAAGGATAGAGGAAAATAACTACAGTACCTACAAAACTGAAGGCAGAATATAGATTTTACTAGCTTTACATCTAGCTCAGTAAGCTTGTCTCCAACAGTTGCAAAAGACACATGACTACAGACCGTGACAAACATATGTCTTTCCCCAGGATCTCCTCCAGAATTCAATCATTAGTCACTCAATACTTCCTCTGTTCAGCAGCAAGTATATATTTAATAGATTTCAGTGATTCTCTTCTCTTCTTTCCCATCTCATCTTGAACCCATGAATAACTTCACATCACTAACCTCCTTGTGGAAGGAGGTCCACATGTTGGGTACAGTCTTAGCTTGTTGTGTCAAGATCCACTGTTTTCATTTGGTTTAAATCTGCCAGTTTCATTTGATGCCTTTAGTTCTGCACTGGTGAGGACAACAGTCAGTCCCTATCCATGCCACATGTTCTTTAGACCTCTGTCATATCCTCCTTCACTCATGAAGCTGAACAATCCTAGATTATTTTGTCTGTCTGTCTTGTCTATAAACGATTCCCAACTGTTGATCATTTTTTCTGACATTCTCTGAACCTTTTCCATTTTGCTATATCCTTATGGAAGGGATCAGAATGTCAGATAGTTCAAAATGAAGGGTCATGACAGCACGATTTCTACTTTGTCATCTATCCTTGCCTAAACCATTATAACTTCTGATTTGCTTTATGGATAGCTACTGAGAATGAGCTGATGTTTTCTATCATATCCTGAGGTCTTGAACATGAGATGTAATGGCAAGCTCACAGGCAATTATTTTGAATGTGAACTTAGGGGGGGGTTTTCCCCCGTGTGCATCACTTAAGAGTTATCTAAACTGATTTTCATCTGCCATTTTATTGCTCAATCATGAAGTCCTGTAAGATCCTTCTGTAATTTTTCATAGTTAGTTCTCATCTTTAATAAAAACTTGAAAAGAGTTCAGAGGAGAATAGGGAGAATGATTAGGTAAGAAAACGCAACTGAAAAAGAAAGGTCAGATGAATTGATGTTCTATCTACAGAAGTGATGGCTTATCAGGGAAATGATAATCAAATTGGTGACGGACTTTTTAGTAGGGCCTGTAGCAATAGGACAAGGGGTAATGGTATTAAACTAAAAGAAGGCAGATTTAGACTAGATATAAGGAAGAAATTTTCACCACCCACGAGGGTGGTGAAACACTGGAACAGGTTACCCAGAGAGGTTGTAGATGCCCCATCTCTGGAAACATTCAAAATACTAAAAGTCTACTGCTAGAAAGGAAGTAAAATCTGGTCTCTAAGTCTACAGTATACTGGACAGAAAACGGGACACTTAAATTGAAGGGAAGAAAAAAAGAAAATAAAAGACTCAAATGAGGCCCTAAGTAAAACATCCTAATGAAAAGGTTAAGAAAACTGTGGAACAGACCATTGAGGAAGCACTGGGCAGGATTCTCCGCTACTGGAGGTTTAAGAACAGATATGACAAGTGTCTGTCATGAATTACATAAGGACAGCTGATCCGGTGTTGGTTACAAAGTTAGACATGTTGAGCCCAGACCTTCATCACTTTCAGCGTCCTTTCCTCAGTGCCGTTTTCTAAAATTTTATCATAATAAAGAAACCCCACCGTGACAGACTGCTAAGATCGGTATATGATTAACATAACTGAGAGCCAAAATATACATATACATGGGAAAACTGTCTAAATTAATCACATGTAGATCCTGAACATCAGTGCTGTGACTACCTCTGAGAACACAACCAGCCTATTTTTACTTGCATCACTCACTAGGCAAATTAATTTTAGTATCTTGCTCACATAATAAATCAAATGCATTGATTTAAAAAGGAGTCTAGCTTTATACAACCGTGTAATTTATTGTTTAGCAGGAGAACAAATTAGACCTTACTTACAAGCACCAGATTCTTATTTCTTTTGAAGAAACGCCCTCAAGAATTACTAGCAACTTGCTACATGACATCTCTGTCTCCACTGAGCACAATTATACCATTTCTATTTCAATATACTGTTAATTTATATTTCTCCAATATTATTCTTAAAGCTATAGCGATGTAAATATTGACACTGTTCATCTGACATAGGCATAAGGGATAGTTATGCTATGTGCCTCCAGAATGCTTCCCTCTGCGTACCGGTATTGCCAGAGCACTGGTGAAAGACACCGGCAGCTCTGAGGAGACACCACCATCAATCTGGACTCTCATATATGAACTAGTATTCTCACTGCCATGAGAAAAAATGATAGGTTTATTTTCAATACTACACACTAATTTAAGGATAGCAAGAACCAGTCACATAAAGAAAACAGATTCTCTTTATGCCCTGCTCAAAAAGCTCTAAATCAGTATAGTTCTTATGAGAATTATTCAAAATGCAGTGCTGTTATACTCATGAAAAGGCATGGAAAAATGATTACTCACTTAAAAGACACGACAAATTCTCTCCTAGCCTTTTCTGTTTATCAGCTTTTTAGTTACCTTTCTTCCTCAGAGCCCTGTGCCCTCCTGCAGCTCCTTTCCTAGGCCTCTGTCCTCTCCACACACGCTACATCCTGAAGATACACTCCTGTCAGGGTGCTTTACACAGTATTTTGTGGGTACAGATGTTGACATGAATAAACATACATGAGTAAATAAAGTTACTAAAAGATAGTTGGGATGTTTTGTCAAAATTTTTATTTTAAAAATTAATCTAGACTGGATTAGCAGATGAAAAACAGAAGCCACTTAACTAAAACCATCCCACAGACCCAAGTTCATACCAGCTCTCACAAGTTGGTCTCATCTCTTTAGTTCTCACAGAACAGGTGCTTGTGAATACCTAATTATAATTGACAGGGCAATTACTTTGAAAATTGTTCCAACAATACAGTCGGGGCTATTATGAGTCTTGTTAAACATGATCACGACCTCATTCAATTTAAAAGAAAAAAACCACTTCCTGAGGTCATCCATTCAGTCAGGTGTCTCCAGTCATTCAGTACTGGTGGCCCAAGCTGGAAGAGATACCAGCTTCGAGTAGAAACAATTTCCCTGTGTGGAAACCTGATGCTGCTAGGAGCTAACATTGTTGGCTTCTCCAGAATAACAGATGGAATAGATGTCCTTTCATTTGCACCTCCCTGTGGCTAATCTCTTTATTCCACAAAAGATTCAGGGTATAAATCGGTTTTTCTTTGGTTTTTAGGGTTTTTATATTAAGCCAGGAAAAAGACACATGTATTGCCTTTAACTCAACGTTCTGCATCAAACCCCAAGAAGCTTTTTTTTCCCCCCCCGTCCAAGTTTTATGGTCTGCATTATGCTCCTGACAGTTAAATCCTACAGATAATTTAAACATTAAATCCGGAACAGGTTTCTAGAAAATGCCATAGTGCATTGTTGAAATTACTCCAAAACATTTAGAATACAATGGAGGGTTGTATTTCTACTACAGAACTCCAAGACTGATTTAAAATAACAACAAGATTATTACTCTCTTAAATGCCATAGTGGTTTCCTGTAAGAGGAAGAATGTGTGAAAGAAGTCTGGCTTGATATACTAGCAGACTTTTCTGCAGTGTCTGTGGGTGGTATTGAGATATTGGTATCTTTAACAGCTATTGATCACCTGCTGTTTTACTTCAGAGAATGTAGCTCCACTGCAGGCTTCTTTCTACATCTCTATTTGAGCAAGTACAGTTACAGCTGCTCAAAACCATGCAAGTTACTTTCATTTTGTCTCCGTTTTCATTTAATAAACTGCAGAAGATCCACAAATGAATCAGAATTTTTGAAAATGGTCTAGAACTGTACATTGAAAATGTGCCCTTTGACGGAATACATCCTGCAAGCAGATGTATGCAGAACTCTACGTCCACTTTTTTTGATTGCAAAATACCCAGATCTGCCTTTTGTCTAGAACTTCAGGAGCAGACATATCAACCTATACATGAAAGTTTATTCTTATACAGCAGTAGGTTTCTTTTCAAGTCAACTTAAAGCTGTAATTCCTGAGCAGACCTACATGATCTGATTCAAGAACCTTGAGGGTATTTATTCACCACAGAAACTTAATTTATGCACTGAATAAAGTGAAAGTCCAATATGAAAAGGAATGAGACTAATTACTCTGATGTATCCATGTTAGGCAGCAGCACTTACATAGAATTGATCAGAATCTATGGCCTGAGAATATCTACACAATTGCTTTAACGGACTAAAGGTTTGATCTAGCATGTGTGTATTTTTATCTACGGCAAGTTAGAAGTAAAGTACAGCTGTTTAATCATTTTCATAACTAAGCCGTGATTGCTGTACAGAATATGTAGCAGAATTTATGAAAATAATAAAATTAGATGCAAATTAAACGCTAGAAATTATGAATCTTGTCTTATTGGTGATTGTTCCAATATTTAATTATCTTTTTTTCATTTCAAGATTGAGTCCATCCTATATCTTGTTTATGCTTTTGTCATAAGGTTGAAAGCTACCACAGGCTGGGATGTATGTTCCATATGCACACAGAGTGATTAAGCCCCCACCCAACCTCTCTTTCATCAACTGAATAGGTTGAGCTCTTTAATCTTCACTTCCTAAGCCTTGTCTAACAACCTCTGGATCATTCGTGCTCCTCCTTTGAACTCCTTCCAAGATTCCAAACATCCTTTTGAAAGTATTTATCTGATAACAAGATATTCTAGGAAAAGTTGTGCCAATACAGTAGAGTATATCCCACATTTTCAGTTAATATTGCCTTTTAATCCAGCATTTTTTGTCATACCTTAGCACTAAGAGTTCATGTTGAGGTTGTTATCTATCCACAACAGCCTCTAAATCGTAACAGTCTATTATGACCAAAGAGTGAAAAACACTATTTCAAAATAAGCACATTGTCCTCAGGAATCTTGCCTGGAAAGTTAAGAACCACGGTATTTATTTCTCCCCTTCCTTCCTACACTTCCCCTTCATTCAGTATGTGAGTCATTTTTTATTAACAATAGTTAATAATCTTAAGTTATTTTTATGGATAATATATATTAAAATAAAGATTGTCTTACTCAACAGACTATTCCGATGTAAGGCAATGCCACAGCAGTTACTATACAAAAATCATTAAGTAAAATCATAACGCTGTAAAAATTCTGATCCATTTACACATACAGAGAAAGCAAGCATCTGGTTAAAAACAGCCTGTTCCATTATTAAAAAAAAAACCACCTTTCAGTCAACAATAAAGGAAGAGAATTAAAAAAACCCAACAAAATACTCAAACTAAGAAAACACACAGACATTACACAACATTAAGATGGAGGTTAAAAAATGCTTGGTCAAGTCATTCTTCTTTGATGATAACACGTCTTCTTAGGAAGCATCAAGATCTTACCCATAGTGAGCATCTTACCTGTTTGCGCATGACATCTGTAGCTTGCATGATATAGCGAGGAGGTAGCCCATGGCTCCGAGCCAGAATGATCGCCTGCTCCAGGGTAACACTCAGAGTGCAGCTGCAATGGAGACAGAAGTCAGCTATCTGCTAGCAGTGATTTCCTTAAAATAATTGCTTTTAGATCAATTATCTTTTTTAAAAAAGTTATAAATAAAAAAATTACATAGTAGACCTGCCCCCTATCCCTCCCCCACCCATGCAGGCATTAGCCTAGACACTAAAATGTTTCATAAGTAGAAAGATTTTGAGTGTAACAAGTGTTCCTGCTGACTTGCAACCAAATGCATTTGCCTTTTTTGCTGTTGTTTAAAAAAAAACCCCAAACAACAAAAACCACAACCCAACTATGGCTTGGCAAGTGCATGAGAGAGTGACAACCCAAGGAGAAGAACTTCTTGTAACTGTATAAACCCCTTTCCAGGTGGTTTCTGCACGTTATCTCTCACCCTCCACTGTTAATGCAGACCCCAGCTTTGGTACCAGGATCCTGACCTTTTGCATTAATTTAGCTTGGTTATTCTCATGGCACATTAGTGCAGTTCAGTCCAAATAAAGAGACATTTCCCCCTTTAAAAAAATAAAACAAATAAATAGGGCATTCCTTCAAATAAACTTTCTTCTCCTACTTTGACAATCTTTTTTCAAGTAAATACTTGAGGACAAAAACTGATCATGGTACCACATCCTAATGAAAAGGCTGTAATTGCTTTGTCAGAGCAACCAGGAAAGTTTCAGAGCTAAAGATCTTTCTGTAGGACAACCTGTCATCACACCAGACAAGAAGTAGTAGGGAAGGTCATTTTGGACATGCCATCCGGTTTCAGTTGTAATGGTGAGGACAAGGACGGACAGATGGTTTCTCATACAATCAAGACCAAAAGCTGTAGAAGACTCACAGATAAAGGCAATAAAACTGAGTAGAAACAGGTACTTTTTGAAAAGCCCAGCACGTTTGAGGGCTGCTATCATCCAAGAGGTGAGAGTGGCTGCATTCTGCACCAATAAGCTGCTTGATGATTTTTCTGTTCACAACCAAAGTACTGCAATAATCAAATCTCTTCAACCAGAAAGATGAGGTGTACAGAAAATGATCCTACCTCAGCAGAACCTGACAAAAGCTGCATATTTCAAGTTCAAATAATAAAACTAAGACACATGGTTAAAACATACTTTTGAGTAGCCTTTTGGCAAAATCCTGACCAAAAGATTCTGCATAGCTTATATTATGCACACAGAAGAGACAATATGTTTCAATCACTCATTTTGCTGAGCAGAAGATCTGTAGGAGGAAAAATGTGTCTGTGCTTATTTTCTTACTGGAAAAAAAAACCCTGACACATTTTAAATACCACTTAAGTAAATTTATGGACTGTAAAAAGTTTCACAGGAGTGAGTATAGAAGATATTAAATTTGATCTGTAGCTTTATTAATGGCTTTCATTAAAAATTTATAACCTAAGTGATTTTCCTTGGTAATGAAATAATTTTTATTCCCCAGTTTCTTGTATACACTGACCTCAGTTAACTTGAAGCGCAAATCTATTGATCTTTTATGTTATATGTTTGATTAAGGTGGACAATAGTTAAATATTAGACTACAAATTCTAAACACTGTGTTTTCGTCTTATCTTTGAAAGGTGAAATACTGCACAAATAAAGTACATGCTCATAATATTTGCCAGCACCAAAATCTAAACATCTAACCTTCAAGAACAGACTGCAAAGGAAGCTTTGTCCCATTGACAACGGGAAAAAGCAAACGTATCTGAAATCTGATTTGACAGGTGTAATCTAAGCCAGAGAAAAAGGGCAAAAAGTCTCTCTGTGGGTGTAATAGAGGTTAATGGGCTCAAAGTACAGCTTTCAACCAACCAGTTACTGAGCCAACTTTCCCATAAATCCCATCTTCCTGGAACCCAAAAGACTGAAAGAACAGAAAAATCATATTCTGCATGCATGAATCAAAACTAACAAAAGAACCTCCTAAATGAAGGTCAGCTTGAAGAATTAGGTGCAAACGCTAATCTTGTGATTGAAAAAGACTGCCAAACCGCTCGCTATCCAAAACCTGATGAAATCGCTGGTGATCACGGACACTATGAGCCACGTACATTTTGACAATGCAAACCATGATTCAGAAATAAGGTTGCCAAGTGTGTAGATAAAGACATAACCAGAGTGGGAAACGCAGAAACAAACAGTAAAATAGCATAATGAAAGTTTCTTTAATAGGCTACTATGGAAGTAGGCAACAACTACAGTACAGTCCTGAAACATATAAACAGACTAAAATTGAAGATCTCACCTCAAGGCAAAAAAACAGTAATTCTAAAGATAGTATTTTTAACATATCCTAGGAAATCAGTAGTGAAGACACTCAAGATGACAGCAGTGATGTTAACTATTATCACATCTCTTTAATAAAACATTTTACATTTGAGGTTAAGTCCTACAGTAATGCTGGTGAGATACATCTACTGTTTCTTTTAAAAACATTCTTACTCGTTAAAGTATGTTAAAAATGTTAAAATAGGATCAGTGGCATGATTTCACTTCAATATAATATGTCATTAGAGATGCGATTTAATATCGCTAGATTTTTTTTTTAGACTTGACATTAGGAAACATTTCTTTGTTTTTTTTTAGACTTTACATTAGGAAACATTTCTTTACAGACGGGGTGGTCAAACACTGGAACAGGCTTCCTAGAGAGGTGGTCGATGCCCCAAGCCTGTCAGTGTTTAAGAGGCATTTGGACAATGCCCTTAACAACATGCTTTAACTTTTGGTCAGCCCTGAAGTGGTCAGGCAGGTGGACTAGATGGTCGTTGTAGGTCCCTTCCAGCTGAACTAGTCTAGTCTATTCTATTTTTCTGTGTTTCTCCTGAGGCATGTAAAAGGTCTGATGAATGGCAGAATTAAATATAAATGATTGTTTATGGCTTTTGTCATGTAATTATGAAATGAGGTTACTACTTTCTAAATATAAAAAACAACAACACTCAAATAGCTTCATTTTGAATACCTAATCAATGAGATGGCATCCTCTAATAAAACTCATCATATAAACCTTCCACGGTGCTATGCTGAACTGACTCACTAGTAAACCTATATTTACATGCTGGTGCTTTCTTCCAGCTCCTCAAATATAGTTTTTGAATTACTACATATTCATTATCACAAATCAAACTACCCTGGAAATCAGCTGTGAAAGAAACAAATGCACACACAAAACATCAGATGGTAACATGGAAAAGTCATAACTGGAAGTACCTCAGCAATAGGACTGCCAAGCATAGAGAGATCAACCAAATGCAAATTTAAACCAATAGAACTTGTACAATTTTATGAAACAATATGAAAGCTGGAAATTCCTCATATAGTAAGACTGTTCTGGTGGTCTGAGCAAGGTTCAATATCAAGGATTGTCAGCAAATATGTGCAATATGTAATAAACCACCCTTCTCCCCCATTTTGAGAGCTAATAAGCAGATGGTATTAAAGTTTACAAAGCAATTTGGAAGCAGTTCTGACAACTGGAAGTATCTGGTCATTTGGATGCAATCAGCCCAGACAAATCAAACAAGGAAAATATTAAGGGAAAAACTCCTTCGATGCTCTCATAACATTCTGTTATGGGAAGCATAATTCTCAAACCCATATATTTTACATTGTAAACAAATCAAAATCTGTTCTCACTCCCTCTCTTTTCCTCTCATCCCTTCTTTTATGCCAGAAAAACAAAAGACCCAAATTCATCATCTCAGAATTTATGTCAGTTAGAATCACAAATTCCCTGCCTTGACAGATTACAGCAGCAAGGCAGCACAGACATTTGGCTTTCCCAGCACAACTGGGCTGAGAGTTCCTCATTTCGCCCATTTGGTTTCCAAGAAACAGAAGGGGCTGCAGCTACTCCCACAGCCCCTGCCTGCTACCCCCAGTCTCCCATCAGTCATGACAGTATTGACGTAAAGATTAAATACAAACTTTCAAACATCTTCTGGATCAGACCATTCTGAACAAAAGAGGTTAAATCATTTTCTATCACCAATAGCCCGTTTGTTTCTGACTGGATGTGATTTTTACTAAAGGGCAGCAAATTGTCTGGATAGACATACATCTACACTGAAAAATGGAGTTGTAAAAGAGGAAAACAGATTCAAATTTTCTAAGAAATGGATTATTTTGTGATAGCTTGTTTAATGTCACCTGAAAGGAAAAATAATTTGAGTTCATGTACACTACCTACAGAGCTGCCACTCAGAGAACTGTAGATCTATGTTACCAGAGTAAAAAGAATGTAAATCATTCAATCTATTCTCAGGTTTCAATTAGGATTCCAGCCATCCTAATTCCAAAGATGCATCACAACATCCCTTAGAAAAATGCCCTGAATAGAAAAGATGAGGTGAAACAAATTGGTTTAGTAGTTACCACAGTCAGAGATGTCAAAATGAATTATGTTCTAGCTATGTGAATAGGAAAAAAAAAAAATATGAAAAGGATGCATGTATGCTTAGTCTAATTAAAATCTAAAGCTTCTACTCAACATGTAACTTAATGCCATTGTTATTTTAATTCCTTTTCTTTCCATACATCATAAGCTAATCATACCTACATTTGACCACCTTTTAAACCAATTACACTATTAAGTATTCATTTGTTTCTGCCGTCATTTAAATTATTGCTTATAGAGCAGCTATTATTTATGTCAGGGTATGCAGCAATTAAAAACTTAGTACTAAAGTAAGTCAGTTTGGGGTAAAATTTTTGGCGGTATTTCTCTATAACTACTAGTGATGCCTGGGCAATATGTATTGATTCTGATGAGTAACCCAAAGAAGAAAATAGGCCATGAGAAACCTAGAAAGGAAGGAAAATGTTGTTCAGGACTATGAGAAATAAGCATAAAAAGTATAGACAGGCCTAACTCAAGACTCTCCCACAATTTCTAAGCTGTTCTCATTGTAGGAATGTCTCCATGCAAGTAAAATTGAAGTTTGCATTCTATGTGCCCATATACTGAAACTTTGCTGAACAGAATTTCATCTCGCA